GCTTCGCTGCCATAACATGCTATTGGCCGAATTAAAGTTTTATATATTCTCATCTTTGTATTTCGGTGGACACTTTTAGACCGAAATATATGGGAGAGGGCAAAATAAGCTTTGTTTGCCTGCGTTATCCTTTTTCGTATTTCTCCATCCTCTGCTCCATCGGCATATATTTCTACTCCCAGGTATGTAAACTTTCCAACCGTTTCAATTGTTGCAGTTTCGCAACTGTAAATAAACATGTGTAAATTATACTAAAAAGAATCCTTTTCTTCTTTCTTCGAACAATCTAGTTGTTTTAAATATGTTCGAAACACACGTATGGTTGGGACATGTAAGGCCCCAAAGTACTTCCAATTGTAGACATCATATCGGACTTAGTTGTTGCACATTTTATAATGTTGAGTGTCCCTTATATCATTGTGTTACCAGTTCGAGATTTTTGTTTATTGCTATAGATTATGGGATATACTTTTTGCTTAAAGCTTACGTAGCTTTATTTGTTTATGTATTTGCGCCAGGTTATTCTAAAATAACGGTTTTAACGTTTGAATAATTAAGACATTTTCTTTCAATATTGTACGAGTTCTTTAAAGTACAAAGAATTCGTAGAAGTCACACCATGTTTGTTTTTGTTCGTTTCAAAATTGCCTTTTTATGTATAAAAGTCTTGTAGTTTTGAATAGCATAATGTTCGCATTTTATAGTTCTTTAGTTCTTTATTTATTGTAATTTGATTTATTCTCATTTTTAAGTCTACTCCTAGCTTAGAATTAGTCGCACCCTTTTTTCAAAAAGGAAGCTGAGTCTCAACGTGAGACATAATTTGCTTACTGCTATTCAAATTATCAGTTATCTTTTATAAGATACAGCTTATCGAAGAATATAGTTTGTTCATTTTACGTTTTCGCTTTTTTTGTCATGATTATGTCTGTCCAGGTAGATTGCTAATATCTAGGGACAGTGTTATAATGCATACTTATTTTCTTTTGCCTTTGCTGCTTATTTGTTTTAAATATTGTAGTGGCCATTTGGGCTACGATTATTCTATTTATTTATCCTTAACTTGGATGTTGTTGCGGAGAACCATTTCCTTAGGTTTGTTAACCAGGATATTCGTCTTCTCCCAATTCTTCGCTTTTCGAAAACTATTAGAAGGTTATTTACAGCATTATATTGAGTGCCGTCTCTCATCATGTTTCCGAGACATTCTGATTGTGGCCTTCTAATCATATACATCACTTTTCTTTCTTTCCTCGCTCTTGTTCGTACGGTCCCGTTGGTTAACTGGTCCGTCTATGATATCCTGAGGATTCGCTTGTATAGCCACGTCTTGATGGCGTCAAGTTTATGTATTGTATCCTAGGATAATAGAGGAATGCACTTCCTATTAGAGGGGAAATATGTTTTATGTACAGTACTGATAGTTGTATAATTTTAGTGATGTATATTTAGTATATAGTTATGTATTTGTATCTATTATTGTTTGTAAGTTTATCGTTCTTTGTGCTCTTTTGTAATTGTAGAGCTTTTTGTAGTCTTGTAAGTGTGGCGTTTGTTTCGCAATCGAAGTGTTTACGGTTTCGGACTTTGTACAGTGCGTCGCGAGGACAAAGTGCAGTTATGTTTTATTGGCATGTATGCCAACGCGGGGAGAATGTTGCAGTTTCGCAACTGTAAATAAACATGTGTAAATGTACTTTTAAATACTTTAAGACTTTTTAATAGTTTCTATTCTCCTCGTATATTTTAAAACCAGATTTGCGTGTAAGTGACACAGCCGTTTTAAGGACTAAAGATTGCAAGGCGGGCCATCTGCCAAATATCACCACATGTGTGTGGTACCTAAGATAGGGGATGCATTTCAAACACAAAAAGAGTCGAAAAGTATCTCTCAAACGATGAAGATGTATGTGAAGACGAAGAGTACCTGACTCCGTAGCGGTCTTTTGACGAAAAAAGACGCTAATGTGCATCACAAACTTGTGTAGTTGAAGTCGGCCGCTGAAGGCGTAATTTGCGATAGCGTTGGGGCTATCTTTTTCATGGGGTAAGGAAAAATACACCATTTATATACGATTTGCTGCATATATCAAGTACGTGCACTTGATATATTTATTTGATATTTGTTGGAACTTCATCGCATTTGTGCCGCGATCGCAATTGAACATTGTCACTTGGACATTTTAAGTTTGTTCCGGTTTATTTACTATATTCTTATTTTTGTATTTTGTTTTGTAAACACCGATTTATTTTATGCGTGGTTTGTATTAATAATTGTATTGTTTGTATGTTTTTATACCATTGATATATAGGTATATATCCATATTTTTATGTTTTTGTTGTAATATTATTAATTTGTTTTTCATCTTTTATGTATAGTATGTTTGAGGCTATGGTATGTTTTGTCTTTTGTTTTGGCAGTGGTTTTAATAGAATCGACATCTTTTTGTTTTGGTTGGTTTATGGTTGTCTTTCGGTGTGTCTGTTGGTGTGTTTCATAGTAGCTGATAGTTAACTTTGTCTATTCTTCTTTAATTATATGGTATATTTGGTTATGTATATTAGTAGCTGATAGTTAACTTTGTCTATTCTTCTTTAATTATATGGTATATTTGATTATGTATATTTATGTTTAATTTTACACCTTTTTTAAATAGAGTTTTATACAGTCCACTGGCTTTGATTTCTTTTCTTTTATTTAATATACATATCCATTTCGAAAGGGGGAAACCAGCGAGTTCTAGATTGAACAGAATATCTTCTCGCCCCCTTCAGGATGATCCCAATTGTTATATTGAGGTCATCGTATGTGCAGAATGCAACATCAATGTCTTTTGAATTGTTAATTACTTCATTTTCTTCTAATTGTTTAAGGACGATTACAACAGAGACCATTTTTTTTATATATAGAGCCATCGAAAAAACCTAATTAGATTAGAGTGTGCAATCAAAATAATGTCCTTTTAAATTTTAATTGCATAAAATGTCATATAATTAGCCTAACATATTGTTTACAATTGTTTTAATAAATTGTGAATTTAATGTTTATAAACCACCTTTATATTGATAAGGATAAGCAAATAAATGTCACGCACTGCAGCGATATTTAAATATGAACTCAACCACCTACCCTAATTACGATTTTCTCGATGGGTCGGTATTAATATTTCCATCATGAAACAACATAGTCATTTTGACCTACAATGAATAAATTCCATATTAAAAATACACAACAGGAATATCATCTATTATAATTCATATAAAAAGTAAACCCGATGGCCACTATAGAACAGTGATGCCAATACCTATAGAACAATGACTACATCAAAATACAAACTGAGTGAACCAACTATAATAAAGTATTTCTGTCAAAAAGCTTTAAAATCTTTTGTCATATCATTTTCCTAAAATTCGTTACCTTTTTGTGACTGGCCAACATGGCAACATTGTCAAATCCTCAAAATTTAAACTAAAGTATATTCTGCAAATAATCAAACTAAGACGATTTATGTTCTATAATCTAAAATCTTCATGTAGTAGCAAAAATATGGACTTCTTCCAATACATATAAAAGATTATAACGTATTTCTATTCTAATGTTCATCGAACAAATATTTTGTCATGATCTTTTGTTGAAAACAATATATATATATATATATATATATATATATATATATATATATATATATATATATATATATATATATATATATATATATAACACTGTTTTGATGGGTTGGAGTCAATAAAAGGGGCTATTTGTTGACTATTTTTTACTCGAGCTTTCAATTGTGATTACAATTTTTATCAAGAGCTTCTAAAAAATACAAAATGTCTTACAAAGTTGAACTAGAAATAAAAATTTTTTGTTAACTCACCAAATAAAATTAGTTTTTGATATAAAACTACTGCTTACATAATAAATACAAAAAATATTAATAAAAAAAAATGTCTTATTCTAACAAATGCTTCTCTGAAAAATTTAGATGAAGTTTCTTAAGAAAAAAAAAATTGAAATTATAAACAAATATAGAATAGCTACAAACAGCCTAAAATAAGTATTTATGACGTTTTAGGCTGGTTGTAGCTATTCTATATTTGTTTATAATTTCAATTTTTTTTTTTCTTAAGAAACTTCATCTAAATTTTCAGAGAAGCATTTGTTAGAATAAGACATTTTTTTTTATTAATATTTTTTGTATTTATTATGTAAGCAGTAGTTTTATATCAAAAACTAATTTTATTTGGTGAGTTAACAAAAAATTTTTTATTTCTAGTTCAACTTTGTAAGACATTTTGTATTTTTTAGAAGCTCTTGATAAAAATTGTAATCACAATTGAAAGCTCGAGTAAAAAATAGTCAACAAATAGCCCCTTTTATTGACTCCAACCCATCAAAAACAGTGTTACATTTTTTCCAAACGAGTCACAAGTACTTCTTTTTTCTTACTCTATATATATATATATATATATATATATATATATATATATATATATATATATATATTATGGTTGAAACGAGAATATTTGGATAATACTAGAATTACCCACATAAAGTTAGAATTATCCAAGCATAGTGAATAAAGCTATATAATTGTGAATATTTCGTTGTATTCTGGACTTATCCGGTTAATACTATATTATCCTGTTCAAATATATAACCGTTTACAATTTGGAGTAAAAATGAATATGATTTTTATCGCTTTTAGTCATATCAAGTTCTCAATTCGTAGTTATATCTTGGATAATAAGTCTGTAGTAGATTCTTAATAAAGAAAAGAAAGCAAATAAAATTTAAACGTAAGTAATTTTTACTCTTATACTAAACTTTAAAATTTACTGCTTTATCCATTTGACATTGAATATATCTGGAATGACTTGCATAAATTAAGAAGTAATCAATCTCCTTTGCCTTTTATCCAGCAAATTTGGAAAATACGCAAAAGTATTCGGGTAAAACTAGTTTTATCCAATTTCGGGATTAACACACACACATATTCGTTTCCACGAGTACATAGTGTATTAACACACTTTTTTAAATTTCTATACATTCTTAAAAAGGGGAGTTCATTCCCAGCTTCGTACCAAAATCCAAGCGAGCTCTTTTTAGAAATCGTTCCTTCACCCTAAAAAATAGGAAATATAAGATTTATAAAAAAATAGAAAACGCCGCTTTTTAAACTTGCACTAAATATTACTTTCGCTTTATTCAAGACCGTTGTTCGGTAGTGATGATATATAGTTCAAGGACCTCTAACAAGAACCTTAAATTAACCATTTAAGGTAAAAAACGTTAATTATTCGCTTTTTTCGTCTCTCAGCAAAAAGTGACGCTTTCGAAACAAATTTTATAGTAAGAAACTTGTCATATAAAATCCTTCAAAAATGGCGATTTTAAATGTTTTTATCCTTATTTGTTGCTTAGAGAATTGCAAAATAAGTACGAAATTTAGTTTTTTTTATAAATGTTATTAACTTTTTTCAAAATAACTGTCAAAGTGTGGATACAAATTTTAAACTTTCTTCACATTTTAAAGTTTAATTCGAATAAACAGTGTGGTCAATGTATAGTTAAACCTGTTCGTATAGTTAAACTTTTAATTTTTATTGAAAAGACAATTAAACACTGTATACCTAATATCTAATAAAAATAATATCAGTTCCCGATGGGGACAATAAAAAGCAAGGAACGTTTTTGTGACGACAGATGGTGATATGGATCAGTGATTCGAGTTCAAGTGATAATAATAATAATTCAAGTGATAATGACCTCCAGAAAAGCAGTTAGAACTAAAAACATTCAATCTTCTCTCAGATAAGTACAATATGCAAAATATTTGGGTATACATAGAAAGTATCGACAATAACAATTTAGGGAGATTATCCTACGATAGTATGACATATTATTTTTTAAAAATTTAAACTTACAAGCATATTGGAAATTAAAGTATAGATCGAAACCGGATTAAGGTTTGATTAAAATCACTACTAGAGGCAAAAATTTAGTAAAACATACTCTAATGAAATCGAAAATTTAAGAGCATTTATACCGAAGAATTTAGTTGAAATTTAAGGATTAAAAGATGTTGATACTCGTTATGATATTAACTATCTCATGGAAAATATTGAATCATACACTTGCGTTACTAACATAACAATACAGGTTAAATAGAAAAGTCTAAAAACAGTCAAATTCGAATCTAAAAAAGTATTGTTGATACCTTTGAGGGGAATATTTTACCAGATCGCATAGCTTTTAATCGAGTTTTTTTCCGGTTGCGGTTGAACAATTTGTAGAAAGAGTAACCCAATGTTATAAAGGTTTAAGATATGGGCAAATATTTAAACAATATAACAGGTGTATAAATTATGGTGAAATTAAATATGATAAACATAAATGTGATAAAAAATTATATATATACCCAAAAATTATATATATAATATACCCAGAAACGCTCAAATTAATCAGCGACGAAAATATCGAATTATTTGTCCTTTTATTCAATCGCATTTATGATACAGGTAAAATACCTAAAGATTGGCTGGAGTCAATATTTATCCCACTACCAAAAAAAGCCAAACCCACAACAGTGCAATGAGTTCCGTCTGATAAGCCTTATGAGTCATGCTGTAAAAGTCATACTAAAAATCGTACATAATCGTATCTATAAAAAGTGCGAAACAATCATCGGAGACGATCAGTTTGGATTCAGAGCCGGCATGGGAACGAGAGAAGCCCTGTTCAGTTTACTAGTTCTCGCCCAAAAATGCTACGACCAACAGAAAGATATATTTATATGCTTTATAGACTTCGAAAAAGCATTTGATAGAGTAAGACACGACCTACTATTAGAACGTTTGCAAGAAGTCGGTTTAGATGGAAAAGACATCAAATTCTTAAAAAACTTGTACTGGAACCAAAAAGCCAGAGTTAGGATCGAAGGTTCCACATCCGCAGAAGTAGAAATTAGGAGGGGAGTTAGACAGGGATGTGTTCTGTCGCCTCTGCTGTTTAATCTTTACTCCGAGTTTCTATTTAAAGAAGCATTGGAGGATTCCAAGGATGGAGTCAAGGTGAATGGCGTAAATATCAACAGTATCAGATACACGGATGATACAGTGTTAATTGCGGATTCCGACTCAGGTCTACAACGACTCATCGACAAGACCAACTCGACCTGTGAGCAATTTGGTATGAAAATAAACATTAAAAAAACCAAAGTGATGTCAATCCGAAAAAACCAAAACGTACCTCAACCTTGCACAATAAATGGGCACATCTTAGAACAGGTCAATAGATTTAAGTACCTGGGATGTTGGATCGATAGCAGCCTAAATCCTGATCAAGAAATAAGATCGAGAATAGAACAGGCTAGAAAATCTTTCGAAAAAATAAAAAAACTGCTTTGTGATTCTCGAATAAAACTCGAAATTCGACTACGTTTATCAAAATGCTACGTCTGGTCGACTCTTCTATATGCAGTTGAAACGTGGACCCTTAAAACATCAACCATAAATAAATTGGAGGCCTTTGAAATGTGGATCTACCGGAGAATACTCAAAATTTCATGGACATCGCATACCTCAAACGAAGAAGTGCTGCATAGAATAGGCAAGGAAAGATAACTTTTTAACACAGTAAAAGTTAGAAAAACATCATACCTAGGCCACATACTGAGAAATAATAAGTACCAATATGCCCAACTTATAGTGAAAGGAAAAATCGAGGGAAAGAGAGGCCTAGGACGAAAAAGACTATCATGGCTCAGAAACATCCGACAATGGACAGGGCTAAATTTTGAACAGCTAATAAGAACAGCTGAAGATAGAGAAGAGTTTAAAATAGTAGTAGCCAACCTCCATTGAGGAGAGGGCACTTTAAGAAGAAGAAGATGAAAAATTGAATTTTTTGTATACACTTTAAAAGCAAAGCACATATCTAACTCAAAAAACGTCCCTTCTCGAAAATCAAACTCTCCCACTATCAAATCACTTGTCCACAAACCGTTGTTCTCCTTTGACCAAACTACTCTAGTTTAGAAAACAAAAAAAGTAGTAGAGCCAACAACTTATCGATTTTTATCATGGACTTTTTAAATAAAACACTTTCAAGTAACAACATACAACCTATTGATATTAACGTAATTACAAATAGTATATACAGAACAGGAATTGGAGGAGATTTTCAAAAACCAATAAAATTCAATCCTAAAACTTGCAATTTAAATATAATGTAATGGAATGCACGTTCTGCTTTGGCTAACAAAAATAGTTTGGTAAAATTTGTTTATGATAAAAATATCGACATGTGGTTTAAAAGAAATCAGCAATACATTTTCAGTGGGTACAATATTGTCGGCAGACTATGACAGAAACGATGGCTATGCTGGTGTGGTAATTTTGGTACACAAATCTCTTCGGTTTGTGGAACATAAAATCAATATAAATTATAATGAAAATATTTTAGTGTTAAACTTTTTGTAAAAACGTTAAAAACTTTTTGTAGTATTTGTGAAATACTACAGTAGTGACAGTGCAGTGATTAGTGAACAGTGTAGTAGTGTTTGGGGGCTCGGGAGACTGAGACCTCGGAAGCCCTAAGGAAGGCATCAGAGAGGATGCCGAAAGCTCGGCAAAATGGATATCGACGCGGTTCAACCCGGAAGACTGGTGAGTTTGATATTAATTTTAGTAATAATATTAATCTTAGCTCTAGGTTTCATATATATATATATATATATATATATATATATATATATATATATATATATATATATAAATCAAAAACAAAGTATTGAAATAACAATTAAATATATAACTTACATTATTTCTTGCCTTTTGGTCACTTCGTTGACTAAAAATACTGCTACAGGTGATATGGCGGCAAAAATGATGACCCAGCGAGGTATATCAAATTCAATGTTTGCGTTTTGAGTACTAACGATATCTCTGAAGACTAGAATTGAATATACGCATTGTACTATTATCCTAAAATAATAAAACATTCATCAGAATACCATTCTGTGCCAATGCTGTCATTGCCACAAGTCAGTGGTATTGTACACAAAGACAAAGGATCCTTTCACAAATCAGGAATCATCCAATGTTGTTTATTCTATACCGTGTGCTAATTGCAAAAACGTATACATTGGTGAAACATCTCGTAATTTTCACAGTAGGGTGATCTCACATCGCAGCGACATAAAAATCAAAAAAATTAACGCATGCGCGTTGACAGAACATGCATTAAGTTTAAAACATGAATTCAAATTCGAGGATTCCTGTATTTTGGCAAGGGAAAATAACCATTCTAAACGTGTTTTCTTGGAAATATGTTTAATAAAATCTAATACGTCTTGTATAAATAAAAAGGCTGATATAGACAAACTGAGTAACATTTATTGTTATTTACTGACTAAACATCAAAAATAACATAAAGACTTACTTGTACATATACACACCATAATACACCTGCATGGTAAACAGGTTGCATACCATCAACACAGGTTTAATACATTACTATCTATTAATAAAACATGAAGAACTCCTAATGAATTTTTAGTCATACTATTTTTGTTTTTTTTTTATTCTCTATGGATCAGTTAAAACACACCATTAAAAGATGTAGCAAACTAATTTTTACTATGTTTAACTAAATTTTAAAATGTATTTTGTCCATTACTTTATAAGTGATATTTTATGTTTGTTTAATGTTGAGTGTCATAGCTTTTTACACATAATCTCAACGACTAGTAAGTACACTGACATTTTGTGATATATTGTAAATATTTACACATTTTTCTAATTACAGTGACTTGACAACTGTTTTGGATGGGTTCGAGTCAATAAAAGGGGCTATTTGTTAACTATTTTTTACTCGAGCTTTCAATTGTGTTTACAATTATTATCAAGAGCTGCTAAAAAACACCAAGTATCTTACAAAGTTGAACTAGAAAGAAAAATTTTTTTATTAACTCACCAAATAATATTAGTTTAGTTAAATAAAAATGCTGCTAACATATTTCAAAAAAAAATATATATATATATATATATATATATATATATATATATATATATATATATATATATATATATATATCTGCGGTTTGACACCAGTCTCTAAGATGTCTGTATACATAGATTATATCCCTTATATTTATTTTACTTAAACAAAAAATAATATTTTATACTTACGCTATAGATATAGATATCAGCCAATACACATTTGTATGAGGAGATTTCTGGAATACTAAATGGTCTCGGTGAATAAAACCTACCGATATAACAACTGAAACAAAGAAAAATCAGTGATCCACCATACTCTTCGTACTTATATAGAAAAGTGAAAGGGTTTACAACGAGCAGATGTTTTTTATTTCGTCAATGTTTCTTCTCCATTTACCTGGCTAATCCATGTTTTCCTACTCTTCCCTAATTATCTTTCTCCTCTCCCAGGTTTAAAAAGTATAATCACCTAAGACTGGCCTCTAGTATTTCTTGAAAAGAAAGATAACATCAAGTACACCTAATTACATGTTAATTACAGTGTTTTTACTTTCCATTCTCTATGCATATGAGTTAAAACACACACGTAAAACATGCCGTAAACAAAGTTTTACCATATTTACCCTAAATTTTAAAAATTTTAGAATGTCAACGCTTTTATAAATAATCTCAACGACTAGTAAGTTATACTGAAGAATTGTGATATTTTTTAAATATTTACATATTTGTCTTATTACAGTGTCTTGAAAAAGGAATAAAACCATTCCGAAAGCTAGACAAAAAGTCAAAAAATTGTTACAATACAAAGCGATAGCAGCTTTTTGCTAAAAGATTTATTCTTTACACATTTCGCATAGCCCAGAGGTAGAAAACGATGTGATTATATCGTTTTCGTTCACGGCCGCCAAAGCAGATGGCGCCTCTGCTCGCAAACCACTGCAGTGGTGAAGCTTTAGGAGACATTCGTTCTACTTTCCGTGTTTGAATTTGTATCAGCCCAAGTGTCTGACGATGGCTGGGATAGGCCGAAATGATCATAACACTTTAGTGATACCGATTCGAGCACGGGAAGTTTAACGAATTTGTCCTCCTAGGCCATATATTTGGCCAATTTAATACAACAAAGCGATAGCAGTTTTTTGCTAAAAGATTTATTCTTTACACATTTCGCATAGCCCAGAGGTAGAAAACGATGTGATTATATCGTTTTCGTTCACGGCCGCCAAAGCAGGTGGCGCCTCTGCTCGCAAATCACTGCAGTGGTGAAGCTTTAGGAGACATTCGTTCTACTCTCCGTGTTTGAATTTGTATCAGCCCAAGTGTCTGACGATGGCTGGGATAGGCCGAAATGATCATAACACTTTAGTGATACCGATTCGAGCACGGGAAGTTTAACGAATTTGTCCTCCTAGGCCATATATTTGGCCAATTTAATATATATATATATATATATATATATATATATATATATATATATATATATATATATATATATATATATATATATATATATATATATATATATATATATATATATATATATATATATATATATATATATATATATATATATATATATATATATATATATATATATATAATTAGAACTTCCCCTTGTTTAGCATCTTGTCCTCTAATTGCATATTTTAATATGCGAATTTTATTTCTAGTTTTCTTATATAAAATCCAAGCTTATCGTGTACACGAAAATAGAAGCTCTTCCCTTTCCTTTTTTTACCTTTAAACACTTACCAAAATGTAACAAAATAATAAAGCTGATAATCAGTCTGGCCATCAGCAATGTCCATTCATTTTCGTCCCATCCACCCATAGAAACGGATTCTGTCAAAATGACGGGATTGTAGAAGAATGCACAGGTGCAATTTGGTAGCACCAAGCATATTTGGTCACAATGACTGGCCAAAATGCCAATGTATGACGTTAATACCACTATAAAAGTAACGAGGAACTTCGTACCGTAGCACCACAGGATAAATACAGCTGCCTGAAATGAAAAAATCATATATATTTGATTAAAAGAGCAGAAGAAAATAATGCTACATTAGAACTATTAAGGTTAATAAATGGAATCAAACCTATTGAGAAGAGGAGAAATAGAAGAGGAGAATAAACAAATAGTCTTTGACACTATTAATGGAGATGAAATATTTTTTAGTGTAAATACTAAGAGTGCAAAAGATTGATACGTTAACACTTCCAAAAGCTTATTCCTACTTGACGAAACACGTATAAAAGGATAAATAAAAAAAATAAACTCAAAAACATGCAAGTAGTTAATGCGAAACAAGTAATTAAGTAGGTAAGCCCTAACAAAATAATTTATCAATATTATGGATGCGGAAATATAGAAGAAACGGCACATACAATATGTGAAAAAGACTAATACGTTTTTTGTACACACTTATGACAAATGAAATAATGGAAAAGGAGAGTATTTTTGAATTGTATACATTTTTTTTTTTATTTCCAGCTGAGGGCTTTCGGCTACAAAACCACCCTCAGACCTATAGTCAAGTTTATAAAGTACCACTACTAAAAAGGGGTTCCGTTTCCTTTAAAAATTAAAAAACTGTTGTTCGAAAAAACATCTAAAAGACATGGATGTAAGAACCCGACTTTTAATGGAGTGGACCATGTCATGACTCCATCCAACGTCTGGCGTTGGATGGAGTGTGCCGCTTCAACACCATCTAAATGGTACGGATCTTACACCTGTTCCATAAACAAACAATTTTTAACGTGTTTTTTTATGTAGTCTAATGTACTGTCTTTAAGATGATTTTTTTCAATTTTTTAACCGTTAAAGGAAAATTTTGTATTTTTCCACTTTTTCCAGTGCGATCCATCTTTAGTAGTGGTACTTTATAAACTTGACCCTAGCTCTGACAATGACTTTGCTGAACCGACAGCACTCAACTAGGAATTAAAAGAAAATTTACATATTTTAAAAATAATTTTCATTTTCATTTTTTCACAAACACTAGCAGTACAGTGTTGGGAACATGGACGTATAAACACAGATGGACTCAGTTATTTACATAAAATTGTGTAGTCAAAATTATTTGAATACGTCACATTCTCAGCACCTTCAACTGTTGTCACGTTTTGTTTTAAAATTTCTTATTCGCGAGTCGCTGAAAATATTACTCCGTATTTTATACTCTACAGGTGCTATCAAACCAAAATAATAATTTATTGGTTAGATTAATATATTTAATTGTAATCAAAATATCAAGTGTGCACATAGTGTGCATTATCATGTAATAATAGCGTATAATAGATATCAAGCAATTATTTTATATGTAGAAGCACTGAAAACTCTTTATAAATGGCAACGGTTGTTTGCATTTCTCTGTCTTATGGATCTACGTCAAACTTCAAACGCTGTTCCATGTTTGTTTACTTTTTACATTAGATGAGGAAAAGTTGTTTTTAGATATTTTGGCTTTATTTTGAGTGGATATTTGTGAAAAGTGAAATAAAATAAACGAAATATTTACATCCCGATCTCTCATTTCATTTGTAAGTACATACAATTTACATTATTTAAGATGATGAAATGAGGAAGTGTGTTTGTTTACATTTTAAGAGGCGTACCATTGGGTTTATTCATGTTCATTAATGTATTGAATAAGATATGAGTTCATGAAATTAGTAGACATTTTTAAATTGTAAGTAGACATCATCTGATTAAAAAAGATCTGTTTAGTACCTTTTTAATTTAATATTTCTCATGGATACAAATAAATTAGTGAAATGAATAAAACTCATTTATTTTTCTATGTATGTTTCCAAATAATATTGACGATCGAACTATTTGGGTAGCAAATTTAGGAGAAAACATAAAGATTTTTTATTGTAGCATTATTTTGATACCTATTAAAAAATTAACTTGAATTCAACTATATTTAATTGTATTAATTTTAAAGCAAATAAAATTGTATTTTAATTTTTCTATAAAGACGTGATTTGTTAATAGTTAAAGTATCGTTTTTTTTTTAATTCTTTGAACGTGTTTTTATACATTATTACTACTTCCAATTTTTAAAATCTGAATAAATACCCGCGAGAAAAAATTCAAGCACGCTTATGCTCATTGCGAAAACATCACATTCTTTCGAAGCTTCAAAACATTGTGTGTTAAACGTATCTTATTGCTGTGTCCATCTATGTTTATACGTCCATGGTTGCAATGCTTCTAGACTGTCTACAAAAACAGCGGTGTCGTCTGCGAAACTTATGTTGTTGTTCAAGATTTTTTCCTTTATTGATATACCCTGTTGTTCCTCTGATATTGCTTCCTTAAAAATAGCTTCGCTGTACAGATTGAATAAAAATGGGGACAGCACGCAACCCTGTCTAACTTACTAGCCAAAGAACACTTATTGATGTGGCCGATACCTAACACCAATGCATATATAGAACAAGCATCTTAAACAACAAAAGCCACGTCTAAGATAATGAATAAAAAGCTAATAAAAGATAGGAATTGTAGAAACTTCTTGTAAAGTAATGATGCCAGTCTATGATTCTGACTAAGTTTCCTCAAATCTTCTGATTGATTCCGTTGATTCAGCGAAAACGAAGCCTTCGCTGATGTCTTTTGCCCCGGGAATCTCCGGTAGAGTTTCTTAACCGGTCGTATATTAGGAGCATAGGCATATATCAATAGACTATGCGCTTTATCAGGTAAAGTGAAGGTACCATCTTTATTAAATCTTTTTTCCTCTGTCTGTTTATTTGTACAGAGGTCAGAGAATTGGTGTGGTTAAACCATAGACATATACTTCATCTAATTTACATACCGATGCACGTCGTAGCCCGTGACGTCACATGATACCAACACAAAATATTTAGGTTGTAGGTGTGTTCTTTTTTAGAATCACTTTACCGAGTACACTGGCATTACAGCCACTAGAAATATTTTATTATATACCTACGCGTAGAAATAATATTTAAAGATTTCTATTAATGTTAACTTAAAGAAATACACAATAATATGTTTCATTTAATTTGTATAAATACATTATAAAGCGTTTTTATGAAGAACATTTGTTCGGAACACACTATAATCACAGAATAATAAACAAACAGAATGCCCACTCTCCACGGAAAATTAAGTACGCACATCTCCTTCGCGCAGACGTTCCGCCATGTTTTACGAGGATTTTAAAGGGAACCAGTGTTGTTTATGTGGTGTGCATGGAAAAAAAAACCAGGTTTATTTGACTTTCGTCAATCATAGACATACTATACAATTATATTATTAACAGTTTTAAATATAACATAAATATAATATAATTAAACATAAATGTAAACAATTGCATAACCTCACAAATCATATGTTTGTGTCCTCCTAAAACATGGCGCGCGTGCTGAAAAACTTCAAAGGCGGCATCTGAGAGTGGCCCTTCTGATTGTTTATTATTCTGTGCTATAACTGTAATCCTACGAAGGTGATATTTTGGCATAAATTGGTAACACTTATTTGACAGTTGCGGTGTTGACACTTTTTGTACTTTATTATTTTGAATTTTAAAGTGAATACTTCTTGTTTTATATTTTTATCTATTTAATAAAATCCATGGACGTATAAACATAGATGGACTCAGTTATTTACATAAAATTGTGAAGTCAAAATTATTTGAATAGGTCACATTCTCAGCACCTTCAACTGTTGTCACGTTTTGTTTTAAAATTTCTTATTCGCGAGTCGCTGAAAATATTACTCCGCATTTTATACTCTACAGGTGCTATCAAACCAAAATAATAATTTATTGGTTATATTAATATATTAAATTGTAATCAAAATATCAAGTGTGCACATAGTGTGCATTATCATGTAATAAAAGCGTATAATAGATATCAATCAATTATTTTATATGTAGAAGCACTGAAAACTATTTATAAATGGCAACGGTTGTTTACATTTCTCTGTCTTATGGATCTACGTCAAACTTCAAATGCTGTTCCATGTTTGTTTACTTTTTAGAGTAAATGAGAAAAAGTTATTTTTCGATATTTTGGCTGTATTTTGAGTGATATTTGTGAAAAGTGAAATAAAATAAACGAAATATTTACATCCCGATCTCTCATTTCATTTGTAAGTACATACAATTTACATTATTTAAGATGAGGAAATGAGAAAGCGTGTTTGTTTACATTTTAATAGGCGTACCATTGGGTTTATTCATGTTCATTAATGTATTGAATAAGATATGAGTTCATAAAATTAGTAGACATTTTTAAATTGTAAGTAGACGTCATCTGATTAAAAAAGATCTGTTTAGTACCTTTTTAATTTAATATTTCTCATGGATACAAATAAATTAGTGAAATGAATAAAACTCATTTATTTTTCTATGTATGTTTCCAAATAATATTGACGATCGAACTATTTGGGTAGCAAATTTAGTAGAAAACATAAAGATTTTTTATTGTAGCATTATTTTGATACCTATTTAAAAATTAACTTGAATTTAACTATATTTAATTGTATTAATTTTAAAGCAAATAAAATTGTATTTTAATTTTTCTATAAAGACGTGATTTGTTAATAGTTAAACTCTAGTTTTTTTTAATTATTTGAACGTGTTTTTATACATTATTACTACTTCCAATTTTTAAAATCTGAATAATTACCCGCGAGTAAAAATTCAAGCACGCTTATGCTCATTGCGGAAGCATCACATTCTATCGAAGCTTCAAAACATTGTGTGTTACAGGTATCTTATTGCTGTGCCCATCTATGTTATACGTCCATGGTTTGGAACAAATAAAATAGGGAAAACAGAAACGAATAAAATGGAGTAAAGGCTACTGATATTCCTAGAAAAGATAGAGAATTAAATAAAAGGACTGACAGTCCGTAAAATATAGAAATGCCTTTACAAGCTTCAATTATACACCCGGGAGAGCATTAAGGATGAAAAGAATCTTACATTCCAATTGGTCAAGTTCTGATTCTTCCCCAGGGGTTTCTTCATCACTTCCTGGTCCAAAGGTCGGGCCATTAAGGAGACGCTGATGAGTGGCACTACCATACAAGAAAACCATAAAACTTGTCCTGTCGTTAGCAGTCCTGGTAGCATCAATATTGTAGAAAAAACCTGCAGTACACTTAAAGCTATACAGCAGCACAACCAAAATTGACCTATAAGTAAATACAACGAAGATTATACACTGTGTGTCACCCAAATGGAATAAATTAGCTAATAAATAAATGAGAGAGTATTCGAAAAAACGCTCGAACACGTCGATTAGTATTTATAGTTGCGCATTTTTTCCATAAAAACTTTTTATACGGGGTGTATCAGATAACGGTGGCCAATACCAACTTGCTTATTTTAAATAGACCACCCTGTATATTAATTAATGTTTAGATTCCTCAGATCATTTTAGACATTTTTTGAATACAATGTCCTATACCTATCTTTGACTGTTTCGATACCTATCTTTAAATAATAAGAAAAATGCAAAAATTCAAATTTTGGAAAGGAAAATTATTTATTTATGGAAAGTCGCTACCACTGTCTTAATACTTCTTGTCCATTTAGGTCTTGGTAATAATAAAGTAAGCAAAAACTATTTAAGCATTCCTTTTTATTGATATGTTAAAAAAAGCAAAAATTGTTTACTCTGGTTTATAACGCCTATGTTTTATTGTTCCATGACAGAAATAGTTGTCAGTGCTATAGTCGTTTGAATTTCATTAACCACAAGCCAGAAAAATGGTTTATTTAACAGAAATGCACAAAATTACAATTATACAGATGATTGGCTATGGAGATAAGACACGGGCGCAGATGGAAGTAGCTCGTTTATTTCACGAAGCATTTCCTGATTTGTCGCACATATCTCAAGGGACAATTAGTAAAACAGAGTAAACCAGAGAAGCAATTCCACGAGCTGGGCCATATAAGGAAAGTAAAAAAGGAATTTGCCAATGCAATAAGTGAGGATACCAAATTGGCTGTTATGCTTGAGTTTGAGGAACACCCACATACATCTGTTCGAAAAACAGCCCCAGTATGAGCAAAAAACAGCCCCCTGACAAAAGTCATCTCTACAGGGTGTTTCAAAAAAAGGTAACCCCGTCTCTAGGGTAGGTAAAAAACTGAAAAATAATTGGGGTTGGCTTGGTAAAAAATTTTTGTAACGCCATCCGTTTTCAAGATACAGGGCGTTGAAGAAAAAAAAAATTACGCATTTCTTACGATTTTGCCGAAACTACTGGCAACATTGTAATGAAATTTTATACGAATATGTTTTGGAAGCTGATACATCTCATGAATTTGTTTTTATATCTGATTCTCATAGAGGGCGCTAGTTACACGGACCATACTAAGTATTAGTCATTATAACTTTTTTAAGAGTATAATTATTAATCAAAATTTCAAGTAAACTTAAACATCATTCAATTTTACACGAAAAAGGTACTCTTGGTAAAACTCGATACTGTGTACCGTTTTCGGAATATTTTGATTTAAAAATTATGAAGTAATAATTGATGCTGGTAGTAATCATAAAGTTCTAATAGAAATACTCTATTTTCTCCAAGTGTGCCATAGAAATTTGACATTTATTGATTATTATGACGATAAATCAACAATAATTGGAGTTTTGCAACCTTGTTATTTGTAAAATCAAATCAAAATGTATCCAAATGTTGAATACACTGACATGTTATTAACCTTAGGCGAATGTTCTAGTGCAGTTGTGACACGTTAAGCAGAAAAGTTACCAAGTAAAAAAACATTTAGAGCCGTTGAACGATGTTGTCAAGAAACTGGGAATGTGAGACCAAATAAAATAAATTTTGGTAGACCAAGAACAACAAGAACAATTAATAAAGAAAATAATATTTTAAATTTACTTGACCAAGATCCAACAGTTAGCGAAAGGAATATAGCAAGACAAACAAATACTTCTTCTTCAAGTACTTATCGGATACTGAAAGAACAGTAATTACATCCTTATCATTACAGACAAGTCCAAGAGCTCTTGCCAGATGATCTACCGGTTAGAGTGGATTTTTGTGAAACATTGCAACAAAGGACAGTCCACAATCCAAATTTTTTAAAATGCATTCTTTTTACGGACGAGGCCACTTTTACGCGACAAAGTATGTTTAACTCGGACTACGCAGTTTGTTCGTATATTAAGGAAAAAATCTATGCTACAGAGGTAAATTCAAAGAATTGGAAGAAAGAATTCAACGTCAATTTAATGACATCATAGATGATCCTTTACCGTTTAGAAGGTTAATGGAATCTTTAGAAAAAAGAATAGACTTGTATATTCGCGAAAACGGAGGGCATTTTGAACACTTACTGTAATTGAATTTTATTTTATGTTCTTCTTCATTAATTTAATTTTCTTCTTGTGAATTTTGTTTAATTACTAACTATTTTATACCAGCATCAATTATTACTTCATAATTTTTAAATCAAAATATTCCGAAAACGGTACACAGTATCGAGTTTTACCAAGAGTACCTTTTTCGTGTAAAATTGAATGATGTTTAAGTTTACTTGAAATTTTGATTAATAATTATACTCTTAAAAAAGTTATATTGAATAATACTTAGTACGATCCGTGTAACTAGCGCCCTCTATGAGAATAAGATATAAAAACAAATTCATGGGATGTATCAGCTTCCAAAACATATTCGTATAAAATTTCATTACAATGTTGCCAGTAGTTTCGGCAAAATCGTAAAAAATACGTAAATTTTTTTTTACTTTAACGCCCTGTATCTTGAAAACGGATGGCGTTACAAACATTTTTTACTAAGCAAACCCCAATTATTTTTCAGTGTTTTACCTACCCTAGAGACGGGGTTACCTTTTTTTGAAACACCCTGTATAAAATTATACACACTCAGGAGCTGATGGAAGAAAATTTTGACAGGAGAACGTATTTTTGTAAACAAATGATGACAATGTTAGACAGCAATGTGATCCAATTAGAACATGTTTACTCTTCACGGTCATGCTAATCGGTAAAATTGTCGCTGTTGGTCCAAGTGCTCATGTATAGGTGCGAGACGTGGACGCTGACAAAAGCAATGGAAAGAAAACTAAGCTGTTTTGAGAGAAAAATCCTCAAAAGAATCTTTGGACCTTATCACGACTTGAATACTATCCAATACCGAGTGAGAACAAATGCTGAGGTTAAACAGATGTATAGGGCTAGCGATGAAGTCCAAGAGATTAAATCCCGATGTCTTAGACTGGCCATGTCCACAAACTCTCTAATAACCGCCTTACTAAGTTAATCTGGGAGGAAGCACCGACAGAGAGAAGGCTCTTAATACGTCCACGAATGCGACGGAGAGATAACATATGGTCAGATTTAAGAACAATGGGGCTACACACTGATTAAACTATCATGGATGATAGTTTGAGTTGGAAGCGAGTTCAGCCAACTTCGGGTTGCAACTACGAAAAGAAAAAGATATTAATTTGATAACTTAAAATCAACTTTAACTCGTAAATATATGTCAGAATAATGATAACATGTGATTGTTCCCATGAAAAAGGGGACAAAACAAAGAAATAATCTAAACCCACTCCTATTCGTAAAAATTATGAATCACCTATTTAAAAATATAAAAAGAAGAACAAACTTAAGGACCACAATAGGTTACACACATCTAACACACGTTATTATTACTGTGTATGGACGAAGTGGTACTCGTAGCGGACAACCAGAGAAAGATGTAACTACTAACTGATGCACGGCTAGAGCAAATAGAAAAAATGAAGATAAATATTAACAAAGGAAAACTACGTAAATAGGGCATCAGGAGCAGAAGATTGGATATAAAACTCAAGTGTTTTGTAAAAGTCATGAATTCGAGATGGTGATAGCTTACGAGTACCTGGGCACGATTATAAAGAGGTTTTATTGTCATGATTGGACGCGGTTGTCTTTTTAAAATCCAGTTACATGACATGATTATTTTTGTGACAGCTATTCTCAAGTTAATGTTGATTTCATGTAATCAAATGAACTATCCTCCATTAAAATCGTTCCAGGATTGCACCTCAAAAATATTGACAATATTATATTTAAGTCTTCTATTTTAAAATAATATATTAAAATCTTCTACATTAAAATGTATAATATATATCAGGCCACCAGAACCAGAGTGGCCCAAGTGACATTTTTTCATATTTAGACTTTATCACAAAAAACGATGTGAAATAATATTTTCAAAGCCACAGTGGCCCAAGATTAGTTTTCTCCGAGAATAACAGATGGCGACACTAGTATTGTTTTGGCATTGTAATTTTATACTCCATTTTAAAAATCATAGTGACCCAGGTGACTTGGGCCACTCTGGCATTGGCAAAGCTTAACTGTCATTGTGATTATTATTGAGAGGTTATTTGCGTGTTTCTCATTTTATAACAGTGTTTTAATTAGAAAATGAATAAAAACATGAATAAAAGTGAGAGTGAAGGCGCGAAAGGCACTGCATGTAACGTAAAAGGTAAGTTTCTCTGTTATTTAACTAACAATCCAACTCTTATAACCTTTGTCAAGTTAACATAACCTACAAAAACATTAATTGTACTGTTTTAATTTTATCAAAGCTTACATCTTACATAAATAGTAATTATTGTTGTGTTTGTTTGCTGCAGATGTTCCTGGAGCTGCAGCAACTGCACATGATGGAGGGAGTGGGGCTGAAACTACTGATAACATCGAAAATGAATTACGAGATATACTTGGATCAAGCCCAGAGGAGCCCTATCAGGATTCAGGTTCCGAGTATGTTCCAGATCATCGCAGCAGGAGCTCTTCGCCAAATTTGCAACATATTCTTGAAGGTTTGTCTAATGAAGACCAGTCGTCAGTTTCTACAAATACGACAAGGAAACGCATTCGCAAGAAAAATATGTGGAAAAAAAAATGTGAGAAAAAACAAACGAGCTAAAGGTGAGGAATACGCTAACACTAAAGGCGTTCTCGTTCTCGCTAAAACGATAAATACACAATATCGATGTCCCTGTAAAGAAAAATGCCACGAGAAGATCGAACCTGAAAGACAAAGAATACTATTTTCCAAATTTTATGGATTATCAAATTTCAATTCGCAAAGCTCATACCTGTGTTCACTCGTAAATGTCGTAATTAAAGCAAGATCATGTTAACAAAAGCCGAGAGAATTTTCCAGACTGTATCATTTACCAGATATGAACGGATGACAAATTCGTGTTTGCAAGTCATTTTTCAAACATGTCCTTCAAGTATCAGATGGACGTCTCACAAGGGTTTTGAAAAATAAATCAGTTGGTGATACACCTCCTATTGACAAGCGAGGTAAACATGTCGCAAAAAACAAAACCCCTGAGCTGAAAGAAAATGAAGTAAAGGAGTTCATTAATACTTTTCCAAAATACGATTCACACTACACCAGACACAAAAGTGAGACAAGACAGTATTTGTCACCTGACTTGAATTTGACAAAAATGTATTCCGAATATAAAAAGAAAGTCAGCGAACCTGTTCAGAAGTTCAACTTATCATTCCATGCTCCTATAACAGATTTATGTAAGAAATGCGATAATTTCAAAGTAAAAATAGAGGCTTGTGAAAATAATGACCATTCCAAGAAGGCCGAACTTACCACTGCCAAGGAGATTCATTTAAGAAAAGCGGAAAGTGCCATGAATAATATGAAAATTGATGTACAGTATGCAAAAGAAAACAATGACACGACAGTAATTATATTTGATCTGATGAAGACTCCTCCAACTCCGGTAATTTCAACTGGAATATGCTATTATAAACGGCAGTTATGGACTTACTGTTTAGGTATTCACAATGCTGCTATCGATGACATTTTTATGTACGTTTGGGACGAATCGACTGCATCCAGAGGGCCACAGGAAATAGGTTCATGTTTATTAAAATTTATTAGAGATAATGTACGTACAAAGAAACTAATAATGTACTCCAATGTGGCGGTCAGAACCGCAATATAAAAATTGCGGTGTTGTGTATGTACATTGTATCAAATCCAGCTTATACTGTGGAACAGATTGATCACAAATTTTCAGTGAGCGGCCATTCCTACTCATCTTGTGACCGAGCTTTCGGCTTGATAAAAAAGCAGAGGAGGTATTTCTCAAACATATACATTCCGGAGCATTGGAACACCGTGATAACAGCAGCGAGATAAAAGAATCCATTCAAGGTAGTACAGATGAAACGAGACGATTTCATATCGACGAAAGCCTTAGAAAGTAACATTACGAACAGAAAGATAAGCGTTGATAGGTCTAATGTAGAGTGGCTAAAAATGCAGTGGATGCTGTATAGTAGGATACATCCATTCTCCATATATTTTAAATATTCGAATAATCCAGAAGTCCTTTTTACCGAAGTTAACTTCAGTAAAAGGAATTTTCAAGATGCTGCTAGCCTAGAGCTCGAAACGCTCTATCCGGATGGAAGAAAAATCAACCATAAAAAAAAGAAAGACCTTCTGTGTTTACTAGAATATGTTCCGCCCATCTATCATCAATTCTACCACCAACTAGCAGACTCTAACACTGCAAGAAATGAATTAGAAGAAGCAATGAGCGATTTTTCGGTGGAGTAGTGTGTAACGAAAAGATTTAAAAACAATAAAAGTGAAAGTTTGATTACAACTTAAGTAAAAAAACTAGCACTAAGTTTTAATTTGTAATTTTTCAGTTTAAAAAAAGTCATTATTTCTGGTATATTACATTAATTTATTTCTATGGGATGGGTTGTTTTCATACCCGATGGCCTATTATTCTTACATTTATTGACATGCTTGTCTCAAACAGCCAATGCCAAAGTGGCCCAACTGTTAAAAAAATTACAAATACTTACAAAATTAGCATCAGGCTGTAGCCCATTAGAATCTTAGTAATTTTTAAAGTATTATGCTGCGAACTAAGCGATGTGTTTAATATTTACTTAATGTTCTACATTAACTCGAAAATTTCACTAAACTATTTTGGCCCATATCTCTAGTTTTGATTTCTATCACTTGGGCCACTCTAATTCTGGTGGCCTCATATCTGAATTGACAATATGAAAGAATTAAAAGAATTTGTTTCTATTACTAAATATCAAAACAAAATAATTCATTTAATTTTTATTTCGAGAACGATTTCCGAGCTAGAAATTGAAACAACAAATATAACATATTTTAAATTAATATTGTGGTTCATCCTCATTCAACTCACAGTACACTATATGAAAATATAAAGATAGATTTTTACATTAAAATATATTTAACACCCTATAGATTATACCTACCAGAGTTCCAAATCGATGCCACAAAATGCCTGGATTCCATTATCAATCTGTATATGGGCAGTGGTGAGTCCCGTTTTATCGACAAAGAACAAGGAATGGAGTTCAACTGGCAAGATATGTCTATGGGACCGGGACAATCTTCGGGGTTTTTGTAAGGTTTTGCTTTCTGGCAAACTTGTGGATACAAAGGAGCTATTGACATACTAAAAATAAAAGACAATAAGCTTGCCTATAATGATAAGATTGGAATCTTGTTTACGGTATACTTGATACTAATTTGGCTTTTAATGTGTTTGTTGATATTTTTTCGTATTATTTTAACATTAATTTTCGATTGCAAAACAAACGTATTATAAATGATCGTAAAAAATGGTGAACACCGAAGTACGCTTATCTAGTAGTAACTTAAAAAACTTGCATGTTTTATCTAGATCCTGTCCGTGTCTTCGTGAATATTACAAGTTAGAAAAAAAAAAAACACCAGAAACTTTTATGTTTGACAAAGAAAAATTATTACAAAGGAAGGAAAAATATATGCCTAAAATCAGAAGAAAATTGTGTAATAGAGGAATGCCCTATTGTTGCTAACATGTTCAATGTTTTCTTAAAAATGCTCCAATTGAGGTACATTCTAAAATTCCCAATCATCAAAATAGTACTTTGAGGAAACCGCCTTATAATGAAAATAAATTTTTTTACAATTATATCCTTACACTCCAAATGAGCTAAGTGAATTATTGATAGGAAAATTGAAATCTTCAAAATCGTGTGGATTTGATGACATACCTCAATTTTTATTAAAAAAAGTAATTCCATTCATACTATTACCTTTAACATTTCTAATAAACTTGACTTTTTGCAATGGTATTTTCCCGGATTATCTAAAGGTGGGAAAAGTCGTTCCTGTACATAAGAAAGGTGATCCAAAGGATATTAGCAATCGCCCAATAACTGTCCTTTCAGTATTTTCGAAAATATTCGAATACTGTCATCTTAACAGATTAAACTCTTATTTATTGCAGAAAGGTATTATTAATAAATGTCAGCATGGCTTTCAGGCAGGTAAGTCTACAAACACAGCAGTTCATTCATTTTATGATACTTTAACTAACTATATTGATGCGGATGAATGCCCTGTCGGAATTTTTTGTGATCTCAGTAGGGCATTTGACTGTGTCGATCATGCCTTACTCATTAATAAATTAGAAAATATTGGAATAAAAAGTAAAGTTCGTGTAACCTTCTGGCTATTGGAATAAAAGATCTCTCTCTAAAATGCATAGAATCCTACCTATCAGAACGTCGTCAGTATGTCTCCTTAACAGATTTATCCCAGCACTCAGAAAATGTTTGCAAGTCAGATTATATTTACATTAATATGGGTGTTCCGCAAGGTTCTGTAATTGGCCCAATATTATTTCTTATTTACTTAAATGATAGTATCTCAATAAATTCTGCTGTACAGTTTACACTTTATGCAGATGATACTTCAATACTTATATCAGATAAATCACAAATATCTCTTGAAAATAAATGTAACGAACTTTTGTGTGATCTTAGTTATTGGTTTTCCTCAAATTACTTACTATCAATATATTCTACACAAATTGAAAAAGTTCAATGCCTAAAGTTTTTGGGTTTGTATGTTGATGAGTGTCTCAATTGGAAAAGGCAATGTGATGATATTATTTCCAAAATAAACTCAGTATGCTACATACTTCGAAACCTCAAAGATACGCTAAGTGAAAACAGCTAATTATGCTGTATTATGCTCAGGTAGAGTCTCGTTTGCGGTATGGCATAGTATTTTGGGGTACGTCTTGTAAATTCAGTGAAGTCTTTCTATCTCAAATAAGAATAGTCCGTTGTATTGCTGGTATTTCTCGAATAACTAGCTGTAAGAGTTATTTTACTAGATATAAACTTTTAACTGTGCCGTGCTTATATATTTTTGATGTCTGTGTTTTTATTCATTTAAATCTTGATAAATTTAAAACTAATAGTCAAATTCACAATAAAAATACAAGGCAGAATCAAAAATTGCATGTGCCTTTTTCTAAAGGAAATATGCATTTTTACTCACCTGCAATAATAGGTCAAAGAATATATAATAAGTTACCAGAGCCAATAAAAAAATGTAAGAATATCAAAATATTTAAATTAACTTTTATTCTGTTGATAAATATTTTAGTAGTTGACATTATTTTAAGTATATGCTAGTAATTTTACATTTTCTATTTGTGCTTGTAACCTTAGGTTTAGCGTAATTTTAGATTTACATTTATATTTAGTAATTTTGTTTTCTAAACTGTGACTGATCCTATACAAATTGTATTTGTCAAAAAGGAAATAAAGTATTATTATTATTATAAATTAAGGGTATATTGAAGTATTTGTCAAATTGTTGGTATTTGCTTTGGGGTATTTTTATTCTTATTTTGTCACAATATAGCTTCCAGTGAAGATTCTCAAAGATTATTTTACTCCTTTTTAATTTTCCGCTACGTTAAAATGAAGAGAAACACACTCTGAGACCACAATTTTTTAAAGTAATTTATAAATATAAAGATAGGTACAGTATTTAAGAATTTTTCTAACCTAGCATCCGCTTGCATAAATATTCCTGCATTGTCGCAGTTTTCAGCTGAACCCATGATACAGACGACCTCTTTGTAGTCTTGCATAATCTGTAACATCTCTCTGGTGACATCTGGAGTACAGTCAGTGAAAAGAGACACTAGTAGTGGAACATTATCGATCAGTTCAATGTGCGGTCTGATTTTATCTATTCCTCTAGGGAGTTTAGCCTACAAATATAAAAAAAATTGAAGTAGTCACCAAAGTTTATATATGCATACATATGAATAAGAAGTTATATTAATACATAATTATATTTTAATAAAATAGATACATTAGAGCTTCACACCATTTCTTCTATGTTATATATTGACACTTACCCTATTACTCATGTCAAAATTAATGGGAGCACTATGCTCAGTACTCTCCGTAAGATTACTCAGAGACTGCCATTCGTGCGCGGTACTATCAGCTTGTAGTAAAATACTTTCTTGACTGGTTTGGTTGAAATCTTCATTCTGATCGTATTGTTTCTTATCGATGTTGAATTTTTCCACCTCCTTCTCGAACTTTACCGTTGAAAACTCCATGTTAATGGCGCTAGGTGCGGAAAAACTCATCGTCCTCGACGATTCCAGGTTGCTGCTAAATTAAATACACTTTAAGAATAGTTTTTACGATAGTAGTTACAACAATTCACCTAGATCGTCACTAGATGATTAAAGTTTAAGAATGATAATAAAAATTGTCCAAGACTATTTTAGACTCAAAAACTTCGAAAGTAAGACTTGCATAATTAAAGTGTTACTTCAAGCTTTATCTGTCAGTCCCAATAATGATATGAAAAGGAAGAGATATATACTTCCTGAGCTATCAACAAAGGTATCGAAGGACAAATCGTTAAAAATTGCAATTCCAAAAAGGAGTAAAAAATTATTCACATAATTACGACTTATGGAAAGTCTTTCCACACAGAAATTCAAACAAACAGAATTTCAAAGAAAAAATATAAGAATGGCTTAGCCTTATGATATGTCAAAGGAGCTGACATTCAAAATAGAAGAAAAATTAACGGGAAAAATTTATATATATAAACTAGAAAACTTAGAATGACATTTAACGACGCATAAACAGTGGAAAAAATAGAAATAGATGCAGAGATCACGCTAAATAATTTTTATGTACGATATGAAAAATATGGAAAAAGGACCTGAAAAGAGAAAATAAAACTGAAAGTTATTATTGACAAATGCAAATTCATTGTGAGATTATGTACAACCGTACAACAAAACACCAACTTATCTACTATAAACATAAAAACTAAAATATATGCAGCGATGATATAAATAAATCGGTGAGTTAATATACTTAACAATTATATAAATAAATAAAACCGTACATGTAAAAGATCTCCGTTTCGAGAAAATCAATAAAAACCTTTAAACGCTGAAATTACTCAACATAGACTGTCGGCATGCATGGAAAGTTTTAGATCTCTTATTTGCAATTTGTTTTTAATGGTAGTTTTTCAGAAAATAAAATGGACTACCAATGACAGCTCAAAAAGGAGGATGAACTTGTATGGTTTAATTCAATACATAGTATAAAAATTGTTATCTAAACCACTTAATCATCATATTTAGAATTTGTGGTTTTCCATGATGTGATGTATTAATAGAATTCGATGCTTCACCTTGGGTGTAAACATTATCTTCTCGATGTCCAGGATATTTTTTCATGAATTGGAACGGGTTCTTTATTATGTAAGCCTTACTATAAAGGAGGTTATAGTGGGGAGGAATGGGCTGTTCTTATGTTCTTTGAACAATTAAAAATATGGGAGTGAACCATCTATATGTGGTGGTCCTTAAGTAAATCTACAAAAAGAACAGTAGATTCTAAACTTCAATGCTGTTAAGAAAGCCCATTTCTCGATACTGTCGAATGCTTTGTGATAATCGACGAATGCCAGATGTAGTGGTATGTTGTACTCTATTGTTTTTTCAATAACTGTCCGGATTGTTTGCAAGTGATCGATAGTGCTAAAACCCTTACGAAAGCCTGCTTGCTCCACTGGTTGGTATGCATCTAGTTTAGCTGTCAATCTATTTGTTATTATTCGGGTTAGTAGTTTGTAAAGGTGTGACAATAAGCTTATTGGTCGGTAGTTTTCTATATTTGCGGCGTCCCCTTTTTTATGGAGTAAAATGACTTCCTCCCAGTGCCTCCCATTTTTAGCATCTCTGAAGTAATTTTATCTTCTCCTGGTGTTTTCCCATTTTTCATTTATTTTAGGGCGGCTCTAATTTCTGATGTTATTATTTCAGGGAAGTCCTCTGAGCCCACATTTAAGATATGTTTTGTTGGTATACCGGGGTTCGGAATAGTAGAAGTATACAGCTTCTCATAAAATTTTCGGATTTCTCTAACGATCTCTTTCTTATGCGAGCACAATGTTCCACGGTGGTCTTTTATCTTTATGATTTTATTCCTGCCAGTGGATTTACATGTTTTTAGTACTTTTATGTTCTTATTGTTTTCTATGGTTTCAAGAATCTGGTTTGTTCTATAAGCTTTGAGGTCTTTTCGAATATTTTTCTTAACGCTTCTGTTGAGCGCTTTAAGTCCGGGTTATCTTGTTCGTTCTTCTTCTTTTCTCTATCTGTTCTAGAGTTTCGGGTTTTAGTTTAGCTTCCTTTTGTTTTCTTATTCTGCAACAAAGTTTCTTAGTGACTGTTTGTATGTCTTTAGTTATTTTCTCAGCTAGTTCATCTATATTCTTGTGCTCAAAGGTATTTGCTACTAGTTTCCGTGCTAATTCCTCTTGGTATTTCTCTTTATTCCTGGCTAGGATGTCTGCCGTCGGTAAAGGGTTGGTTGTTAATAGTTTTCGTCTTTCTCTCTTTACGTTAATACGTATATCAGCACGAACTAGTCTATGGTCACTGCCGGTGTTAAATTTGTTCAACACCTCGATGTTTTTACATATTGATCTATCACTGGAAAGGATAAAATCTATTTCATTCTTAACCTGACCGTCAGGGCTACACCATGTCCACTTTCTTTGTATTTGTTTTTTATAGAACGTGTTCAGACAAAACATTTTTTCGGTGCTTACGTAATTTGCTAATGTCTCTCCTCTGGTGTTTCTGTTGCCTAGACCGAAATTTAGCAGCCATAACAAAGCATTTGGTGTTGTTTTAATAAGAATAAACTATGAATTATCACAACTAAGAATTATTATTGCAGCTGAATAATAAATTTTAAGTTATTTTGAAAAAAATGCTTTTTTTCAAAATAACAAATCCAAATCAGATTCAGAAGATGAACTTTCAGAACCAAGATTTATAATAACTGGCTCGATCATTTTATCAGTAATATTGTCCAGCTTCCACATTTTTTCCTCTTCTTTAATAGTGTGATTTACTGCCTTTTCCCAGTTTTCAGGTTTTACATTATTTACGGCCTCCAAAAACAACTGTTTAACATCATGAATTTTAAAAGTGGTATTTTTTCTTGAAACTTCACTCTTTATTTGTGCCCATACCAGTTCAATCGGGTTTAATTCACAATGATATGCTGGGGATCTAAGTACTGTCATTCCACGATTTTTGGCAATTTCATCAATTTCGTATTTTTTAAATTTTTCTTTATGAAGGGCACACAACGAATAAAGTTCCTTTCTTATAGATCCGGGATGATACGTAATATTTTTTGAACTCAGCCAATTCTGCAAGTCTTTTTTTAACCACTTGGTTGTGGGCAATTCTTCTATAAGTCTGGAGTGATAACTTGCATTATCCATTACTATTACACAGTTCTTAGGAAGAAGATCTATCATTTGTTCGAACCATTCTTGAAAGACATCAGCGTTCATGTCTTCATGGTAGTCACCGGTACGAGTTGATTTAAAAGTTAATAAACCACCTTCAACAAAACCGTCTGAACTGCCAATGTGTACTATTATCAGCCTGCGTCCCTTTCCTGATGGTGGGTTTAAACCAGTAGATAAGTTATTTACAAAAGCGTGCCTTTGACTTGTAACAGTTTCATCCTGCCAAAATTTATTTGGTGTATGACCCTCGTTGATCCATGTTTCATCAAGATAAAATATTTTTCTTTTTTGGTTTCTCATTTCCTTTATGGTTCTTAGAAAATGTCTTCTCCATATGACAATATCGCTTCTTTCTAATAAAATAGACTTTCTGGGATTCTTTTTCCAGCGGAAGCCTATTTCTTTTAAAAATTTCCATAACGTACTTCGACTCATTTCTGGGTAATCCTTATCATCTCGAACTGAGACAAGAACTTTATCCAATGTTGGAAATTCTTGTCTAAAGAAGATTTCATGCACTTTCCGTCAAAGCCCTTCTTTAAAATGATATTCTATTTGAAATTTTGGTTTCCATGGAGCATTACGTGGCATCTGAAAACTACCACATTTCTCTTCTTTAATAACTCTGTAAATCGTAGATTTCCCAACACCAAGTGTACTGCTAACTAACTCAACGGTCTCATCAACACTTTCACATAAAAGTTTGTCTGTAAATAATTTAAAACAATTAAATATTAATATTAACTGTTAAAGGACCAATTTTTCGGCGTTTACACGGCACTTCCAAATTTTCCATAACACTAGTATACACAATAAACTGCACCTTGCAACTGAAGTACCTGCTTTTAGTGAACTGTTAAGAATTTTGAATACGCCACTTGGACCTTCCTACAAAATGGAAAAACCCACTATCACATTTTGTGTGGAATAAGTTTAGAAGGTAATTATCTAGTCAATTACTGTCGTAGATTCCTGGAATTAAAGAATTAAATGTTTGATTGTTGAAACCCTTACTTCGTGGAATGCACTCATTTCAGATAAAATAAAACGTTTTATTTTATCTAAAGAATTAAACTTTATTTTGCAAATAGGTAGGTACTTATTAAACTTTTATTGGTTATATATAACCAATAAAATAAACATCTTACATTTCTTGCAAATTCATTAGTACCTGTTAACCTCCATCACTCCGACACTGGCAACCTTATTTAGGGATTAGTAACCCTCACAACTATTGTATTCTATTCTGCTCCAACCTTTATACCTGGTGGTCATACTCAATTTAAAATGGTTTTCCTATATACTTCTGTAAACTTGTTGACAAATATCTGTTTTTCATTGAGTCACCCGTATCAACAGTTTAGGGATTTGCATACATAATTTATTGTTTTATTACTCTCTCATACATAAAAATACACTATAAGGCTACATATAGCATCACTTATAATTGTGTGTCCTCATTGGCAATCTGCCTTTCGCGTTCTTTATTAAAATTATTATCAACACTTCCTGATGTCTTACAATTTATTTACAATTCTTGTAACTGTTTTATGGTTAATTTTTAGTTTTATTATTATCTCCTACAATCATACCTATTTCAACTCCTCAACTATTTTCTCCTCACGTGTTAATAAAGATGCCACTCGATTTGCATTGGATTGTTACTGAATCCTGGATTAAATATCGATTTGTAGACAAATGGCTAGTAGAGAATTTTCCAGCGCATAATATATTTGCCGATCAGTAATATAATGTCAATACAGAGGAGAAAATAACAAGATTTGTTTTTTTTTCATGCAGATAGATAATA